TGTGTCATGGAGAATGTGACCAAGGGATATTGTATACACTCTTCCTCTGCATATTTGAAAGAGCTGGGGCAGGGGTGGGGGGGGGAATAACAATTCTTAGGATAAAGCTGTTTAGATCCCACTCCCTTCTAGGATTCTAAGACAAATGCTCCATCCATCTATCTATCTGGAAGACAAGCATGGGCATGACAACAAACATTATTTTAGGCCTGGCAAAATTATTTCTTATACGTAGCTCTTATGATCACAAAGTTGCTTCATTCACAGGGGACTGAATGAGCTTACTTATGCTTTCCTTCCTGAAAAACGGTCTTAAAACAAAACAAAATGGCAGCTGTCTTGAAAGCCAGAGACTAAGGACTTTTAAAGTTCATCTGGATGGAACCCAGTAACTTGTAAGTATTGGAAAATTAGAACTTGATTCAATTATGGTAACCAAAGGGGTCTCTTGTTCCAAGGATTCATAATCTACTGCGGGCAACTCCCTTTGTGCTAATGCAGACCAGTCCTTCCATGCCTGGCCAACGATCTAATGAGTTACTGGCTAGAATGACTGGTCTTCCAGCAGCCAGCTTCCTGGCCACAAGTCCTATCTTGTTGAGGCAACACCTCAGATAGATGGCACTAGGGCCACCCCCAAAGCCTATTCAATTTGGCAAGGCCTACTAAAGTTAGTGCCATACCTGTGGGGCCTTCAGGAACCCAGAGTACTCTTCCCCTCACACAGAGGCAACAGAAAGGGGGCTTGTATTAAAACTATTTTGCTTAGGTCTCTAACCCAAAGCACTTCTCAACGTTCTGGTTTATTAAGGTGCATAGGGGGCTCAGGAAGTACAGTTAAGGAAAAAAGCAACACTGAAAGAGAAGAGGATGAACAGCTATTCATGAGTCCAAACCAGAAAAGGGGCCCACAAAAGTGTAGAAGCAATGTCTAACATCAACCGTTTGAGTGAACATTTAAATGTGAAGACTCCCCCCTCTCCAAGTAAAGACTGACTTATTTATGCTTGAAGTTTGTGTTTTAGGGCTTCTATTCAAAGAATATAAATTAAAACACATAAAACCTTCACGATGGTTGTGTTAAAGGTGAACGTTGTGGCTAAGAAGCCTTTCTTAGATTGGCCAAGCCTTGAATCTGCTCCGCTCACATCCATAGACCCATGGGAATAGGAGCGTTCAGACTTTTCGAGTTGGCAAGCAAGAGTTCACATGAGATTCTACATCACTTTTTGAGCTGAGTTTGAACCACCACCCATTAAGTTATGACTTGGCTTGAAATGGCTGGGTTTGGTTACACACAGAAATTTTATTTGGAGAGGTCTCACTGATCAAAGATATCATTGGAATGTGGTAGAATGAGTGCTGGCGTCCTAAGACCGAGGTTCAAGTCCCAGCCCCACCATTATTAGTCAGTTCATCAATTTGAGCCTCAGCTTACTCATCCTGTAAACGGGGACAATCTACCTCACAGGGGACATCAGTAAGATGAGATACATAAAGCAACTTCTAATTTGTCTACTACTATCTACCTATCTATATGAAGAAAATGCCATATTGGTTCAAACATCGGCTACACGCTTCCTTCAAATCCTGCTTATATAAAATCAGAGTGTGACCTATTAATGACTTATTTTTAAATGCCCTGCATCCAATTCAATCGCACTAGCATTTATTAGGTGCCTGCTGCATACAGGGTATGGTGCTAGGGGCTGGGACAATACAAAGATAAAGCAAAAAAAAGTCGGGCTCTCCAGTTCACATTCAACTGAAGTGAAATGACACGTAAACACGTGTATAAACATTATCATTTGAGGATAGAGTGTATTAACAGCTAGGGGATCAGGAAAAGTTTCCCACGGTGGCACGCAAAGGAAGCTATGGATTAGCTAGCTGAGGCTAGCCTCCAGTTCGCAGGCTCAGTTAGAAGCTGAGATGAGGGTGAGCATGCCAGAGCTGGGAGGCAGCCTTGTGCACAAACACTCCGAAATATGTATTTTAGAGAATGTGGGTCAGTTTGGCTGAATCATTAAATGTATGAAAGGGAGTGATGTGTTATCAGTCCGGAAAGGTGGGCTGGATCCTCAATGTGAAGGGCTTTACGCCAAAAAGGAGGTTGTATTTTATCTTGGAGGCTGGCTGTGGGAAGCCACTGAAGTTTCACGAACAGAGGAGTGACATGGTCCTCTTCCTTTCAGTGTCATGTTTTTAACAATGTAGCCAATACAGGATTTTGGTAAAAGACCTGAGAGGAATCAGGATTATCATGCAACTGTTTATATAAAAAAATTCTGAATAAATACATTTAAAAATCTGCAAAGTCCACAGCCATTCTACACACTTTCATTTATTGTCTGGACAGTTAAAAGTACAAATAATTCAAACACAACAAGATTAAGAAAAGAAACATTTACAATACTTTTTCCCTCTGAAATGATCTAAACTAGCAAGGTTAACATGAAGTCATTCATTGCAACTAAGGTATACAACTGCCTGGTCCTAAGAAAGCTTCTTTTTCCCACCCCCTTTCTCCCCCAATAGTAAACACATTGTAGAGAAAAGATTTTGGCATGCCTTCCCCACTGGTTCCCGGCCAATGTGTCAGAACACGGCCAGCAAACTGGGCTTCTTCACACCAGGTGATGGAATGTGGAATGAGTGTCCTCGCAACTGAAAAGCTGCTAATTTAGAGGAAAACCTGAATGTTTAGAGGCTGGAAATAAAAGAAAAGCCCAAAGGAGATGGCATCTAGGATGCAAGCCGTGGTTTTTCAGTGTTTCTCTACGTCTACAAAAATTTGCCTCTTTGGGTGTAGAAACCGGAGTTTTGGTGACATGCACTTAGGGGGTTTAGCATGGGAAAAAAAAACACACAAAATTAGCCCAAGTTATAAATAACCATAACGTTTTATTACCTTTAAGACTAAACTTGTATTGAAAAGATTTTTATGTGACAAGACAAGAAAAGCAATAACCAATTTAACTATCAACTAGATTATGCATAGCGAGTAACTGCTTCTATTACCCAGGGAAGAGCATGGACCCTTTGTGATTTGGTGTTTGTTTTTCCCGTTTTCCTGTTTTCAATATAGAACCACACAAAGCACAAATGTACTCGTGTGGTTGGTCAGTGCACGGGGACCGGGAGAGCCCTCCCACCCCACCCCCCAGACATTTTTGTTCCCTTCGCTCTGATTTTGCATGTTGTGTTTGTTTCTTCCCAATCTGAATTTACATGAAAAGAAAGACCCAGTGGTGGTGGTGATTTTCTTCTACTGTGCAGTAAGAAAAAATACTCACAACAAACATGACAATACAGCAAACAATATTTCTACACAAGTTACTTGATACCTCTGTCACTTAATTATAAGAAAACATTTTTTTAAGGACATATACCAACAAAACTAGCAAAGTGTTACAACTCAGAATAAATTAACCCAAAGGAAAAATAACTTTATATATATATATATTTATATTATATATACACATACACACACAACAAAATGACACAATAATATGCTTCTTCCCATAGTTTAAATGAACAAAGAAGTAAAACTAGCTAGATTTGATTTTGGCCCATATGCCTCATTCACATCGGCAAGTAATAAATAGTGATTCAAGCAAAAACCAAAAATGGTGTTTCCAATGTACCGACATAGCCCAGTTCTATCAGCACGGGCAACAAAGTCAATCTCAAAATTCCTTAACAAATTTTAAAGCAAATGTAGTTTTTTTTTTTGTTTGTTTGTTTGTTTCTTCTCTTTCCTAAACACATTACATTGAACTATGACGCTAAGATATGTAAATAATTTCGTAGCACCTACTGCTTAAACTAAGGAAGCTTCCGATTAGAAGAAAAAAAATTAATCGTTTAAACGTTTGTTCTGTTGAGATCCCATACTGATGACTTAAAGAAAAACCGTCTTACATCTCCTCTCCTTGCTTTTGGGTTTTGACTGTGGGGAACTGTGGTACCCTGGGTAGACCCCTCTCTGCTCTCCCTTCCTGTAGTAGTTAATATTTTTTTAATTATTACATGCTATGAAAAGATATGAAGATCATCTGTTTATAGCCCATCCTTCAAAAAACAATCTACGAATCCGGATTAAAACACACATCTTTGATCTCTAAAAAGTTACCAGTGCAGTATGAACATGACAAAGCTGTCAATTTCCCCTAAATTAGCCAGTCAAAATATTTTTTTTTCTCAAATCCAGATTCTCTTGTAAAAATTCTTTATATTTTATAAAAATAGATTTTTCTTGAAACCCATTTTCAGCAAAGAGACCACCTCTTTGGCAACATTAATGATATTAAATTGTTAATGTCATCAGGTGTCCTCCTCGGCCCCATCCCCCTAACAGAAGGCTGCTGAGTTCACATGATATAAAAGAAAATGAAAAGAAAAATTTAAAAAAAATTGCAAAAGTGTTTTTTTCTTTCCTGTTTTGCAATTTCTATTATTCCTCTTTAATTTGAAGTTGGAGGGGTTTACCAATCTGATTGGAGTAAAATGTTTTTGAAAAGGAAAAAAAAAAGAGAAATCTTGTTCTTTCTTTTTAATTCCATTGCTTTGTAAAAATTGTGTTTGTTTTTTTTTTTATGATTTTTTTTTCTGTGTGTTTTTTTTTTCTTCAAATAAGCGAATGGTCACCTTAAAAAGATTCCCCTTCAAAGAAGGCGGTAAAGTTAGCCGGCTGGGTAAAAATCCCTGTACATCGTCATCTATGTAGGTCATATTCAACAATAACAACTATGAAAGAACATTCAATGCATCAAAGATTTGTTTTTGTTATTTTCTAAGCATTATATAAAACCCTTTCCTGGTACATCTCAGGATATCCAATGTTTTAATACTTAGGCAACACTGGCTTAGAAAGTCCATGGTTGAACATAAGCCTCCAAAAGTTTGTTTCTCTCTCTCCTTCTCTCTCTCTTTTTTTTTTGTGTGTGTTTTGTTCGTATATATTTATATATATATTTTAATAAGTAAGGATATGAAATTCAGGATTTGTGGGTTTTGTTGGTTTTGAAGGAAACTTGCAACACTCGATCTCCCAGGCGGTATCCGTTAAGGCTGGCGATCGCCATGGCGGCCTCATCGTAATTGGTCATGGTGACAAAACCGAACCCCTTGCATTTGTTGGTGTTGAAGTCACGGATGACTTTGACGTTGTTCACGGCCCCAAACGGGCCGAAGAGCTGCCAGAGGACGCTCTCGTCGGAGTCGGGGGACAGGTTGTAGACGAAGATGCACCAGCCAGTCCCGGTGTGCCCCGGGATGTTCATTCCAACCAGGCTCGTCATCCCGTCGATTGTGATGGGGGAGAACCTGGGGAGCAAGCAGAGTAGGGTGAAATCTTCTAGATGTCACTCTGAGCACGGGGTCACCTCCCCTCTTCAACCCTCACCCCAATGCAAACAGAGACAGGCACAGCACATACACAGCCTAAGGTCTGTCCCTGACTTTGAGGGTTACGAACGATAAGACAGACAGACAGACAGACAGACAGACACACACACACACACACACCCCAGGAGCCTGCAGCATTTTCTTTTGACATGGGATAGGGCCTGGAGGGCTCTCTCTGACTGGCCCAGGGATGTACCTACAAGGGAGACCCTCAGACAAATCTGTTAAAATCTGTTTACTTCTATATTCTACTTGCATTTAAAAAAATACAGTGTTTTCTTTTTCTTTTTTTTTTGTGGGGGAGAAGGGGGGAGAATAAATTTCTTGTTAATTGAAAAAAATAAATAATAATTAAAAAAGAGTGGTCTTTAAAATGATTAGCTCCTCTGGTGGTCACCCCAAAGTCTACTCATTTCACAGCTCTGCTCCACTTGGAGTGGGGGATTTGTTTTGCTAGGTTCTATTCATCTCAGTATCACTGGAAGAAGGCCCCAGAAATGCTGCCCCTTCCTGCCCTCCCATCTTGGAAGCCAAGATCCCTCATCCCTTCATGTCTCTCTACTGGGATGGGACCAGTTCAGGGGCATGTTGAAAGCCAGGCCGTCACATGGATCTGTGAATGCGAACTGCTCTGACTGGTTCTTAGAAAACCAAAACTCTGCTCCAGGGACTACTTGGATATTGTTTTTGGGGGGTGGTTAACGGCCTCACTAATTAGAAAACCTCCTTGGTTGGCCTAAACTTTATGCTCCAGCAGTTAACAGGAAAATCTGGGGGCCATTTGTGAAGAGGTTAAAGACCCCAAAGGTTGTGCTTGAGGCCCAATAATCCTAAGGAAACCTTTCTTTCCAGCTGACCTGCTTTGGGTCTGAGTGCAGACCCTCCCTCTGCAGAACACAGTAATGACTACTACCTCATCCCGAGTGCCTTTTGGCTTACAAGAACACCTTCCTCATGATGGCCACAGGAAGGCAGTAGTGGAGACAGATTAGTCCCATTTCACAGATAAGGAAACCGAGGCTGAGCAAGGGGAAGGGGCTGAGATGTGAACAAAGGCCTCTTCCCTACTGAAGTGGAGAACTGTTTGTTCCCACCTCACATCAAAAACTGCAGCTACAAGTATATACACTACAAAATCCTCAAGTCACATCAGCCCAGGGATTCTCTGTGCTCACAGAATCTCTGACAGTTTTAGACACAATGCCTGACACACAGTAGGTGCTATATAAATACTAATTATTATTATTTTAAAAGTTTGGATTTTTAAAAAATTCAGACCCGGAAGGGAAGTTAGGTGTTTAATTGCCATTTTGATCTTGGATATATTTTTTTAATCTATTGGCAATCACCTGACATATGCAAGAGGCCAGGCAAGGCACTGAAGCCAGAGACCCCACCCACTTACAGCACATGCCCTGCAGACTCCCTTTCTAGGGGCTATTGATGCTGAGTCCCAGGGGCCATGTTTGTCCTCCACAAAGGAGGCCGAAGAGGCGAGAGAGGGAGAAGAAAACGCTGGGGGACAAAGAATAATCCAAGAACAGGAGGTAAGTCTGCCCTTGTCCTCAGTCTTGTCATTCATGATGGAGGCTGAGAGTTTGTGTTCAGGGGAGTCACTTACCGTACAGGGTAGGGCTAAAATACTGTCTGGTTAAAGGGTACAAGTATCCTCCCAAATATGGGGGGGGGGGAATCGGGCACTAAGTGGAAGGAGAAGGAAAGCCCATGTGTGTCTAGTCAGTTGGGAAGGCACAACTGAGTCAAAAGGACACGTGACACTGACAGGACACCTCTGCCCCACCCTGCCACACCCATCAGGGACACTCCCATGGTTGTAGGACAGGAGTTCTGAGATGGAGCCTAGACTTGTAATCCAACCTGCCCTGCTGAGCCCGACCCAACCCCCCAAACTTCTTAAAATGAAACAACAAAAAAACGCAAAGAACTAAAAGGGAAGTTGGTATAGGTTAAACCTGTGAACAGAAGCCACCCAAGAGTAGTTAAGGTGCACACAGTTACATTCCCAAGGCCGATTTAACGTGAAGCACTGAGCTGGGAAGGAGGCGACCCATCTCTAATCTGATTCTTTCCATGGCCAAGGAATCGTCCACTATGGGTAAGATCATTTAAATCTGATTTAATCTCATCAGATGACTGTCCTGTCGTTAAGACATTTGTTGAGCTCCTTCTGTATACAAGGCCCTTATCATTTTTAGGGGTCGGTACTTTCTAACAGTACCTTGGCAGTGCCTGAACTACCCTTTGAGGACCTCAGAGGCCCTGGGAGTGCGAATTATTTGCCCAAAGCCATTCAGGTAGTCAGTGGCAGAGCCAGGATCTGGGGCTGGCTCCAAAGCCCAGGGCTCTTGCCATTATCCCCCCGCTGTTCGAGTTTGCAAAATTAGCTGGAGAAAAGACAGATGCTTTTCTCCTAAAAGCAGTCATTAGAGGGCCAGGAGATTCTTAAGCCAAGGCACTATAGCTGTGACACCTGAACCAAGTTAGAGGCCCACCTGTAAATCAAAGAAAAAAACGTGAGATGCACGCATACTCTGCGTGCCCTTAAAAGAAACAAATAAACAAAGCAAAAACCAACTGAAGTCCGAACTAAAAATTAAGGATTTGACATGCTGGTGGAAGAAAAAAGTAATTAAAGAAATTTCAAAAGTTAGTGAATTAAAAAAAGAACAATAAATTATAGCACCCATCTGTGCCAACACGGACATCTGGCGATCTGGGGAGTCTTAATTACCTCTTTACGCCATAGGCCATATTAAGCAAATTGTCCAGCCTGAAAAGAGAAGGAGGGTCTCGGGGTTAATTTCTCACAGATGGCAAGACTGAGCAATGGAACGATTCATTCTGATGGCCCCCTTGTCAGACAGAGACGCTCAAGCACTTCCCCTGACAGGCCTCCTAAGCTCTGAGAGTGGCAGCTGCCCCTCTTGGGCCCTCACCATGGTGGGATGCCCAGTGAAGAGCCACTCGGAGGCTGGAGGAAAGCCCGCTCTATCTCTGTCTCTCCCTGTCCCTCTCCAGGTCTGTATTAGCAACTAAAAATAACTCCTTACCCCATTCTGCCCTCTGAGCCTTTTCTTCTTAATTTCTGAATTTTAGGTTGGGTCTAAAATCATTTTTAATGCTGTTTTAACTATCTGCCTTTCAACACAATCAAACCTGTGGATAAAGCATTTCTGTTTGACGTGAACCAATGGCACCCCAGCTCCAAACGTCATCCTTTTCTGGAGGGGGTGGGCTTGGTAGGGCAGAACGAAGGAGAGAAGAATAAAAAACCCAAAGCCACTAGCTGAATGCTGCTCACCCCAATGGTTCTCTCCTAGGTGAATGGCCAGCATGCTCTAAGTCACCTCCCACCCGGCCCTCATGGGGAAAGCTGCTCACACCCTGGGGGCAGCAGCAGCCGTGGTTTCCATTATTAGAAACCTCCAGGAGAGGGTTTTTTACATAAATACTGCATGTGCGCTCACACAAAGTAAAAATTAGATGACTTGCATGCTTGGTGAGGAAGAAATCATTAGCAATTTCAGCTCCCATTATTATTCCTGGCAATGGAGAGGACTCCAAAAAGCTAATTGTCTCTCTTGACCCCCACCCCACCCCCTACCCCAGGCCAGTCCTTCCTGCTACATTCCTGGGAGACCCTGGGTAACGAAAATCACCCTTTAATTAAGGGAGGAGAGTGAAGAGGGAGTGGGAAGGGGGGGAGAGTGCTACTGGAAATATATTAGGGGCCATTAAGAGAATAGCTCCCCTCCCATTAGTCATAGACCAGGCCTTCAAATAAGCAAATCACAGGAAGATCCCCCCTCCCTCCACCAAAAAAAAGGGGAAGAAGCTACACAGGGCTACTGTCCATCAAAAGCAGGCATCCGGTAGTAATGACCCCAGGAAGCTAATTAGGCCTGGAATAAATCTTCCCAAATTGTGTTCGAGGCCACCAGGATCTGATGGCAGACACAGCAGCTGGGATACAGGCTGTGTGGGAGCAGAAATCCACTCCCCAATAGGAGCTACCTGCTGGGGAGCGGAACCCAGACTCTGCCCTCTTTGCCTGGACTGTCCCTCAGGAATGCCACGGGAGGGTCACAGAGGAAGCAGGAGGCCCAGGGGTGAGGAGGTGATCCAGGCCCCTCTCCCCCACCCGGGGAAGGGACTGGCCCAAAGTCGGAGTCAACTTATGGCCTCATTTTAATAATTAAGCTCACTGGTTTAGGAAAAAATAATAATTCTTATAATTGTATTGCTTGCCTTCTCAGCGGGTGAAGAAAAGGCTGGAGGGAGGAGGAGAACTGGGAACCCAAAATTTTACAATGTGAATGTTAAATAAAATACAGTTTTTTAAAAATTATTTTTCAAAACTCTCTCTCTGTCTTCCCCTCTCCCAATCCCATCTATTTGTCTCTCTCCATAGTCAAAAAATATGAGAGCTGAGGAAGACTTCAGTCTTCCTTTTCATTTAACAGAAAAGGATCTGAGGGCCCAAGAGGAGCAATGCCTCTCTTGGCATATGTGGCCCAAGTCTAGGTCTTCCTGCCTGCCCTTACCTGAATCTCTGTGCCTGGTGGTGCAGAGGCCCCGGGTAGCGTCTGTTGGGCGACTGGTACAGCTGTGAGAGCAGGGCCTGGCTCGTCTTCTGGCTGGGGTTGTTGGCGAACTTCACAGTAATGGGTTCCGTAGCACCGCTGGGCTTCTGGCCATTCAAACCTTTGATGGCTTCTTCTGCTTCTATTCTCTTGTCGAAGCGGATGAATCCCACACCTCGAGAAACACCTGAGCGGGGAAGGGACTATGGTTAAAAATGAGGCGAAGAAGCAAAAGGCAGAATGATCCAGGCCAGAAGGAGAAAACAGAGGCCTCCTCTCATCTATACTGCTAATCTCTGAAAGAGTGTAAGCTCCCTGAGGGCAGGGATTGTTTCACTCTTGGCCCAACACAGTAAGCACTCAATAAATGTTTGCTGATTCCTTCCGGCACTTGGCACAGAGCTCAGCACACAGCAGGAACTTAATAAATGCTTTGTCAAAGTCTGAACTAAATCCATGCTGGGTGTGAAGAGGAACATCTTGATGAAGTAACCCCAGTCTAAGCAGCCACACCTGAGGCCTGGACACGGAGGAGCAGAGAGAGGAGATGGCTGTGTCCATGGGTCCAACTCAAACTCAGGTAATCTGGGTCTAAATGTGGGCTCTCTTCTACAGTGGCAGGAAACCGATTCTCAGAGGAGTTGGGAACTCACCCAAGGTTGCACAGTTATTAAGTGACAAGGGCAGGACCCGGGCTTGGGTGTTGTGTGTGGGCTGGAGGGAGGGGACCCTGGAGACCATCCAGAGGACAAAGGTCTGAGGGCTCAGGCCAAGGGAGGACACCAGATCCGGGTCTAGCATTTGAGGGAGGGGTGAAACTGTTGTGCCTGGCCCCAAAGAGCAGAACCAGGAGCAAGGTGAGAAAGTCTCAAAAAAGTAAACTGAGGCTTCACGTCACGGGAGCTTCTTAGCACATGGAGCCATCCCAAAGGAGAACAAAATGCCTCAGGAAGGAGGGGATGTCCCTTCCCAGGAAGTCGGATGGCTACTTGGATGCTGGATTGACCAGAGGTTCCTGTGGCTTCTTCTGGTGGGGAGACCTCGTGCCTAGAGCTTTCCGGGGTCCTCCTCTCACTCTCTGGATCCTGGAAGAAGACGTTCCTTTTGACCCACTACTAAGGCATCTGCCCAAAGGCCTGCAATGCAGGGAACCTGGCAAACACATTAAACACCTGGTGGCAAACTGCTGATGGCTGCTCCTCTCACAAGGTGAAGCTTGCACTGGCATGGGACCCAGATGCGAGGAGGCTGGCTGATGAGGAGCCTCTGGAGAGGGCTGCCACAGCATGGTGGGACACTCCCATCAAGGTGAGGGATCTTACGTGTCACCTGCCACAGGGCTGGTCCTCAATACCTGCCTCCTCACATACCTGGCCAATGCTGAGCCTATTATCCGAGAGATATAAAGAGCTGAACCACCCATGGAGGGGGTGAAGAGAGCTTATTTTAAGGGGGGTTAATTCTTCCAGTTGTAAGACCCGGTTTTAAATTCCAGCTTTGCCAATAAACTCACTGTGAGATCTCAGGCCAAGTGACTTCCCTTCTCCGGGTCTCAGTTTCCTCATCTGTAAAAAGAGGTGCTAAGATGAACTTAAGAATACTCTAATTCAACCAGTCACCTTCATCTATTTGTTGCTGAGCAAACTAGACATCAGGGAAGATGTCTGTGTGTCTGTGTACTTACACACCCATGTCCTTCTTCAGTTAATACAGATGTGGACCTAGATGGAGGATGTGTGTAAACACACACATGTACACATACATGTATGCACATACAGGTGTGCATATGACATACACACATGGGTATGTGCAGGTGTGCGTATACATGCATACACACATACATGTGTGTATATGTGCGCATGTATACACACACGTGGGTGTACCCATGGGTGTTTGCAGACATGTGTGCACGTGTGCACACACACACTTCTCTTGAATAAGACTTGAATCCTTTAATAGAATGTAAGCTCCCTAAGGGCAGGGACCAAGGATTCATTTGATCATTCTTTCAACAAGGCCTAGCACAGAGTAGTACTTATAAGATGCTTGCTGATGACTGGTTGATTGCCTGAGGACGTTGCTGGCTTGGCCAGAAGCTTAGCCACCATACCTGAGTGTGGTGTGATTTTTGGTTACAGTATTTATACATTCTCAGGCTTTGGGGATTGGATCTCCAGCTAGGAGGAAGCTGGAGGTCACGGACAGCGGGCTGCCTTTAAGGCCTCACCTGCTCTCACTCACTCCCAGTCCTCTGCTACCATCCGCTCTGGGTCCGTCTTGTCCCCACCTAATATTTACACTAGTCTCCCTGATTAGAATGTGAACTCCTTAAGGGTAGAGATAACTTTGTTTTTGCTGTTGTTGCTGTTTTTTATCCCTATTGCTTAGCATATATACTTTAAAAATGCCTTCTTAATTGGATTTTTACAGAGAAGGAAACTGAGGCTCAGAGTTCACACAAGAAGTGTCCAAGCTGAGATTTGAATCCAGGTCCTCCAAAGCTGTAGCTGGTACTCTTTGCATCATATTGTCTCCAAAACATGAGAGCATCCTTTGTGCTAACCAGCATTTACTAAGCACCTACTATGTGCCAGGTACGTAAACCTAAATCAAAAATTCATCTAAGGCATTGAGGTGGCTTCCATCTGTGCTGGTGAATAGAATGTCCCTACTGGTGAAATCATGAATCCTGAAGCCCATAAGTAAGCATGCGTGCGTGCGTGTGTGCCCAGCTGTGTGTGTGTTTCTGGATATAAGTATCTGAGACCTAAAATAAGGGGTTCCTGGGGGCAGAAGGGTTAAAGAAGGCCCCCCTGACTCATCCCTTAAACCCTGCTAGAACTGGCTGGCAGCAGAGAGCTGGGAGCAGGGCCTGTGTGCTTCAGCACCATGGACAGGGGTGGGGAAGGTGCCAAGGAAGAAGCCAAGTGAACCTGTGACTTGATCCACCAGGATGCGGGAGGTGATGATGCGTCCATACTGCGAGAAGAGCTGCTCCAGTTCTTTCTGGGTCATGGTTTTTGGGAGGCCGCTGACGTACAAGTTTGCATCCCGGATGGATGCTGAGCTCGGACGGGCGTAGGAGACCTGGTGGGGGAGGGGGGAGGAGAGGAGGATGGGAGGAGGAGGGTGAGCAAGAGAGGAGGGAGAGAAGAGGAGGAGAGAGTGAAGGAGGAAGAAAGAGGAGGGGGAGGAGGAGAGAGTCAGTCCACCTTCGGCTATGGTGCCCACAGCCCAGCCACCCTACCCCTCCCCAGTCACTCAAGCTCTCGCCTGCCTGCCTGCCTTCCACTGACCCGACCCTGAATGCCAGCTTAAATAACTACCCTCGTAGGGTCCTCGCGAGAGTCAGGAAAGCACTCCACCGACCTGAAATGAAGCAAGCCCACAGCCAGGATTCCGTGGAGCGTAAATCGGCAGGTAAAGGAACCACCAATTTCACCCCACTTATCTCATACACAGAATCTGACTCCTCAGAGCCTCCCCGTCACCTTCCCCTACAAATTCATTGAAGATGCCAAGTTCCTGGCCAGCTCTATCTCTTTTTCTTCCCAGCCTTGGTTGAGAGGGCTCAGAGAGCCACCCCACTCTCCCTCCCGCTAAGCACATCTGTACTAGGGTGGGTCAACCCAGTCACCTCCAGAGTGACCCCCAAGAAGGTCAGACCTCAGCAAGGCAGACAAGGCAGTGGGGAAGTGAGAGCCCACTGGTGCACCGAAGAGGAGGTGCGATTTCAGAAAAATTATCTCCCTGGATCTCTGTGAACTGTTTTCTTCCAAAATGCTAACAGAGACATGTAAACAGATCTGAAATTCCATCTGCAAAGAGCCAAATCTGCAGCGTACACATAAGCAAAGCACATTTCAGTAGTCATTAATTTTAGATTTTTTAAAAATTTATTTTTATTTTTTATTTTTTTAAATTCAAAAGACAAACAACACCCAGTGCAGGCGACAATGCTTTACAGCCAGTCTCTCCTGCTCCAGCTATTTCTAGGGCGGCCATGGCTCAAAATAGAGCTGGCCAGCTCTCCAGCCTGCCTGCCCGCTGCTGCTGGACAGTGGCCTGGCTACTGGGGGCATGCCTCGGCAAGCAGTCTTATTTAACCTAGTCCACAAACGCATGACCAGTGCACACATGTGCACCCATGTGCAAAGCCATTAATACACATGTGTGTAAGCACAGTGAGGCAGTCGGTGCACGGGTGATCACCGAAGCCATGTTTTCACTGCATGGGGGCCAGCACATTTGGGAAAGAGTCTGGGCCTGGTGGCCGTGTGTCCCAGGACCCCCTGTTCCCTCCCTACCTGTGACACACACGACAAATCGCTTTCTGATATTCCCTAAAAATAAACGTTGACTCAACAGAAAGAGAGACGGGGTGAGAGAGACTAATGTTAGCTCCTGCTGACGGAGGCAGAGGAGGTGGTCTGTGGCATTTGGCACTGGGTCTTTGGGGTGGGAGAAACAACAGAGTATTTAAATTTATAGGGAGCCAGAAAGCCTCTGTGGGCTCTCAGTTCTGCCACAGGGGAAGGTGGGCTTCTGCCCTGGGCCATCCTGGGCTGTTGGTGAGGTACAAACTGGCTTTCCTGAGCTGGGTCTGAGTCAACCAAGAGATCCATGGCATCCAGTTAAGAACCCTTGAGAAGCAGAACCTGTCGTGGTGCCTCTAAGGAGGCACAGGGACATTCTGGAACCCCAGAGAAACAATCCAGGGTCCAACAAGATGTTCCTCAGTGGTATCTATTAGGGAGGGGTGGGTGACTTCCAATCCCACACACGTTTGCCTGTCAGACTAACATCCACGGGCCACAAGGGACCATCTCCCCGACGAGCCTCCTTCCCACTCTCTGCCACGGGAGGCTTGGCTAAGACAGCAAAGCTCAGAGCAAAGGGGTGTTTCTGTTACTCTGTCTGTAAAATGAAGAAGCTGGATAAGAATCCCAGAATCTGGCCAATCAATTGGTCAAGCAAAAAACATTTCCTAAACATCTCAGCCGGGTGCCAGACACTGTGCTTAAGAAGGGATGGGGAAGGAAAAAGCATTTGATATTAAGCCCCTACTATGCACCAAGTACTGAGCTAGATGGGGAAGAAGAGAACAAGTATTTATTATTAAGTACCTACTATGCATCAAACGCTGTGCTACATGGAGAAGGTGAAAGGGACAAAAATGTGTTATTAAGCCCCTATTATGTGCTAGGCACCGTGCTCTACAAATACTACCTCCCGTGATGCCAGATGCTGGGAACAAAAACGAAAGGGAAACAGTAAAACCCATCTCCTGAACCACATCCTTGATAAATGGGCATTCAGCACCTGCACAACTGGAGAGCTCATTACCTTTCAAGGCAGCCCAACCTTTCTGCTGGGGGATACTCTACCTGAAGGGGAAGGCTTTCCTCCTAGCACAGGAGGCAGAGGGCATCTCCGAGGCTGCCTCCACCCCTGACTGGGCCTGAATTCCTACCATCTGGTTGCAAGCACAGGGAAGATGACACAGGCCCCCTTTTGGGAGTCTAGTCCCTTTGTCCATCTGCCTACCTCCAACATGCTGTGGGGGAGTGCTGGGGGAAGGATGGAGATGCTGTTATCATTCAGAGCTCGATTCCCCAGAGTATCTCGGCTCTCACAAAGTCACATTATGAACCCCATTTATAGCAACACTCCTCAGCCAGAAGTTGGGAGTGGGTAACCATGTACAGGTACGGGGCACATACATGCACAGCCAAAGAAAGAGTGAGCCACATGGAGAAATGCAACCTCAGAGGTACCTAGTCAATCAATAAATCTGTAAGTATTTAGCAAACACCCACAGTGTGCCAGGCACTGGGGATAAAAAGATGAGTGAAACACTCCCTGCCCTCACGAAGTCTGCATTCTAGTGGGGAAGACTCCATGTTCATAGACAAGTAGATAGCTAGAAACAAAGTGACTGGGGCATATTAGCAACTGGGGGAGGCGGGAAAAGTCTCCTGAAGAAGGGAGTGGCACTTAAGCTGAGAATGGAAGGGAGCTACAGATTCCAAAAGGTAAAAGTGAAAAGGGAAGGCACACCAGGCATGAGGGATGGCCTGGGCAAAGACAAGGAGGTGGGAGATACGCCATCATGGACAAGGAACAGCAAATAGGCCGGTCTGGCTTCACTGACCCAAATGTGAGAATCAGAACCTCTAAACTGCAAGGGACCTCAGAGGCATCAAATCCAAATTACAGCTGAGCAACAGCCCCCTTCCATCAGTAGGGAGCTCACTCCCTCCTGATTCCCCTTACTGTGCTTGTAGATGCTTTAAGGGCAAGGAGGCTTCTGCTCACCAGGAGCCAAAAACTGCCTCTCTCCAACTTTGTCCCCCAATTCTGCTAGCACCCAGGTTATTAGGCCTAGCGCAGAAATGGAATTCTCATTTGTAATATGGGAAAAGGGCCCAGGGTCCCGAACAACCAACTTAAACATTTCTCTGTATCCCCAGTGCCTGGCACAGGCTTGTTAACTAATTAACAAATGGACATTCATGGTACAACTGGCCTGTAAATTGCGGGGCTCTCTTGAACTTATTCCAAAGGAATGTGGCCCTGCCCTCAGAGTCCTGGAATTGAAAGAGATGTCGGTGGGCAACTAGTCCAACCATGGGCCTGAGGAAGCATGCCCATATCGACAACATGCCTGAGTGGGCAACCAGCCTCTTATGTAGGATGGGTGGATCCTTCTTGCTTTGGGGGGAGGAGAAGGTATTCTTCCAATCCTACCAACCAGCTGGCAGTTGGTGCCAGGCTACAAAGATCAGAACTCTTGACTCATTACATGTGTTCTATACCTGTTTATCCGCTGTGTCCACTGATAGAATGCATGCCCTTTGAGGACAGGAGCGGTCTCACTTTTGTCTTTGGATTCTCGGTTCCTAGGCACAGTGCCTGGCAATGGTAGGTATTTTCATGGGTGGCAGCTATAGAATGGCAGGCCTAGAGTCAAGATGACCTCAGACACTTTCTAGTGGTGTGACCCTAGGCAAATCCCTATTTGCCTCAGTTTTCTCAACTGTAAAATGGGGATAACATTAGCACCTATCTCCCAGAGTAACTGTCAGGGTCAAATGAGATTGTCAAGTGCTTAGCACAGTGCCTGACACACAGTAAGCACCATATAAATATGAGCTATTATTCTTATGACTTAATAAATGTCTGATGATAGTAACAACAGAAATTATATAGCACTTTAAGGTTTGCAAAAACCTTTGTGATCTTCACAACAATCCTGGGTGCTATTACTATCCCCACTGTACAGATGAGGAAACTGAGACAGACAAAGGCTAAGTGATTTGCACAGGGTCACACAGCTAGTATATATCGAAAGCTGTGTTCGAACTCAGGTCCTCCTGACTCCAGGTCCGATGCTCTATCCACTCAATTAGTACTATCTGGTTGAATTATAGGATGAATCATGAAATGGGGGTTTTTAGTACTTATTTCTCTCTGTGAGGACATGGCTGGTAACTTGGTTTTGGTCCAAACGTAAGCTTTCATCAACATGGGGACCTCTCAGTGTGTCAACTCCCTCCACTGATATGGCCCACCAGTCATGGGTGACTCATAGCCTTGGAAGAGTGACTGGGAGCATAGGTTAAGAACCTCTGGGTTAAATCTTCTTGAGCGTCCTGTCCAGGTCTAATTCCTATGATCACCACCAGATCTGAGAGGCGGAAGGGGGGGAAAGAGAGAAACATCTGGGGCCACTTCACTTGCACCTAGGGCTCTCTCCAAAAACTTCCAGAAGCACCCATGCTGACCTTCCCCCTTTGGTCCTTAACAGGGAGACAAGAGACCCACTGCAAAGTCTTACATCATCGTAACACCAAGATTTACACACAAACCAAAGTTTGACAAAATGAAATCATTTTAACTGTAATAGGGGGGAGCTCCTTACTTAAAATAATATGACTAGTTATTTAACAAGCATTTATTCATCCAGAGCAAATAATCGCACTCTGTGTCAACGCGGGTCAGGGAGGGGAGTGAGAAGGCGGCTGATTTAGACTAAATCATGGAGAAAGGTTTGTAGCAAACAGAATGATTCAACGATAGAATGG